GGCGCAGGAGGGGAAGACCCTCTATGAGATGGATTGACTCGGTGACTGGGGTAATTGGGATGGGTGTGTCAGAGGCAATGCAATTGGTGCAGGATAGAGCAGGGTTTACGGCTGTTGTGCATAGGGTCGGTATGAGTCAGAAATGACTCGACGGCACATAACAACAACAACAAGAAATCCTAAGTGAAGATGTGAATGTAAGTCTACAGATCGAAAGCATTCTACTTGCCTAGTACAAAGAATGAAAGAAAATCCACATGAATGTTCACCATTTGGGAAAGTCTAGAATATGAGTGAAATAGAGACCTGAGAGACTGCCAAAGAGAAAAATTAGCATCTATACAGAACAATAGGGGTCAGAGTGGCAGTATTGGACATGGAAATATGATGTAAGGTCTTCCACATTCTGCAGGAAATTGATTCCCAAAATTTTATATTAAACTGTATTTGCATTTGAGAGTAGCAAAATAGGCACTGCAGGACAAGAAAAGACTCAGAAAATGTCTATATGTCCTTCCCTAAGAATTATTCAATATGATGTGTTGCTTTAAAATGAGGGAGTAACCAGAAAAGATGAGGATAGATGAAGTTTTCCATCTCAGGAAGCCTTAGCTGGGACAACACCGGAGCAAACTGGAGACTGGAGTTACTGTTTTTGAGAGGTTAGAGCATATCTTTGAAGAAACTGCTGTACACTCTCTTATAATAAAATATATTTACTTGATTAATTGCAGAAGTTTGTAAATAAGAAATTTGAGAAAATTCACTTTTCATCTCCTAGATAGAATAATTCTTAATTTAGTAACAAAAAAAAAGGCACCAGAAATTGATAGTATACCAATTGATGTATTTCAACTAACAGATGCTGCTCTAGATATGCCAAGAAATCTGGAGGACAACCACTTCACCAGCTGACTGGAAGAGATATATTATTTGTTCCCATTCCAAAGAAAGGTGACCCAACAGAGTGTGGAAATTATTGAACAGTATCATTGATATCACATGCAAACAAGATTCTGCTAAAGATTATCCAAAACCAACTGGAACATCAACAGAGAACTACCAGAAGTGCAGGCTGGCTTTAGAAGGGGTCGTGGTACTAGGAGTATTATAGCTAATGTCAGGTGGATCTTGGCTGAAAGCAGGGAGTACAAAAGGAATGTCTATCTGTGCTTTATTGATCATGCAAGGCATTTGACTGTGTGACCAACTGTGGTTGACTCTGAGAAAATGGGAATTCCAGAACACTTGATTGTGCTAACACAAAACCTATTCTTGGACCAGGAGGCAGTGATCACAACAGAGCAAGGAAACACTGCATGGTTCAATGATGGGAAGGATGCATGCCAGGAATGTGTGCTATCTCCATACTTTTTCAACCTATATATGCAGAACAGATTATCCAGGAGGCTGGGCTGTATGAGAAGTGTGGCATAAGGTTTGGTGGAAGATTCATCAACAATGTGAGTTATGCAGATTACACAACCCTGCTTCCTGAAACTGAGAAGGGCTTGAAACGCTTGCTACAGAAGGTCAAGAACTGCGGTCTTCAGTATGGATTTCGGCTCAATATCAAGGAGACAAAGATTCTCACCACTGGGCCAACTGACAGCATCAGGATGGATGGTAAAGAAATTGAGATTGTTAACAGCTTTAGTTTGCTTGCCTCCACAGTCAACAATCTTGGTACCAGCAGCCAGGAAATTAAAAAATGTATTGTGATAGGAAAGTCTGATGTTAAAGACCTCTCCAAAGTACTGAAGAGCAATGGTGTCACTCTGGAGCCTGAGGTGCGCCCGACACAGGCCATGGTCTTTGCAATCACTTGCTATGTGTCAGAGAGGACAGAAGGAGAATTGCTTCCTTTGAGCTGTGGTGTTGGAGAAGAGTATTCAATATACCATGGACTGCTCAGAAAACGAACAGGTTCATCCTAGAGAGCGTTACAGCAGGCTGCTTCTTGGAGGCAAAGATTCTGAAGCTTCATCTGACATACTTTGGACATGTTGCAAGAAGGGACCAGTCCTTGGAGAAAGACGTCATGTTTGGGATGGTGGAAGGACAGCGCAGGAAAGAAAGACCCTCTATGAGGTGGACTGATTCCGTGACTGGGATAATCAAGGTAGGTGTGTTGTAGACAGTGAAACTGGCAACAGGACCAAGTGGGGTTTAGGGCTGTTGTACATAGGGTTGCTATGAATCACAGGTGACTTGATGGCACATAACAACAACAGTACAAAAAACCCAGGAAGATCTGGTGGCCTAGTGTCAAGAAGATGCACTGCAATCCTTAAGTCACAAGGTTGGAGGCCACCAGCTGCTCTGCGGGAGAAGGGTAGGCAATCTCTTCCCATGAGATTAACTGTCTCAGAAAACTCACTGGAGGGTAAGCTATGAGTCAGTTTTGACTGGACAGTACACAACAATAAAAACAGTATAAAAATGTGAAAGAAAAAAGTTTTATGTTCCTGAATATAAGAAACCATTAACTATAATTTGCATTATTATTTTTATTACAAAGAATGAAAAAAATGATGTGAATTTAAAAGACGAGTAATATGTTGCGTGACTCACTGATATTAAATAGTTGAAAATGTGCTTCTGAGTACTGCTGAAAGTAAGCATCTTACTCAGCTTTGCAATGAATTAAATTTACTGTGATCATTGATTTAAACACATTGTACGTTTATGCAAGAACCAGAAAGAAGTATTGGGGGGGGTGTATTTAGAAGCAGGAGTGGCATCCACTTCCTAAGCAACATGCCTCTGAAAACTCTATGAACTTTGAGAAATGATAATAGTTACAGAAAGGCTTCAGACGTTTTGTTCATATGGTTTCTATGAATTGTGCGTGACTCCACCACCACCACCACCACCCCCACACACAGACACACACACATGAAATATGAGTGTTAAAAATGAAGTCAGTAATGTTTCTAATAGACTAATCAGTATGGACGTAACTACCTGAATGAACAACTAAAGCAATTGAAAAAAATTGCACAAAGGAAGAATGATGAGAAATCCCTTCTAAGGCAATATACAGCCTTGGAAATCCAATTGTAAGTTAGCCCTGAGTCAGTTCTGAATTAACGGCTTTGGATTTTTTTACTGTTGTTTTCAAGACAAGTCTTTAGATCTATTTGATCCTTTTAGTATATGCATGTTGTTTGAAGTAAATAAAAATCTAACCCCAAATTTATTGTTGTCAAATGGATTCTAATTCCTAGTGGCCCTGTCAGACACAGAAGAACTATCCCTTAGAATCTCCAAGACTGTCTTTACTAAAAAAACAGACTGTGTCCTCTTTCTCCTGACAAGAGACTGATGAGTTTGCACTCACCACCTTTTTGTTAGTGGCCATTGAGCCAGTGGGACTTCTGAAGTAAAGTAGAGGAAGGCACACCACACTCTCCACATTCAATGATTTTGGAGTTTAAAAATAAGAGACATTCAAGGTCCCCAAACAAACTATCTCGCTCTGAAATAATGTGGCATTGTAATTGTTATGTGCCATCGAGTCGCTTGCTACTCATAGCGACCCTATATACAACAGCCCTTAACTCTGCTCTATACCTTGCCAATCTTATTGTCTCCTACATGCTTATCCTCATTACCCAAGCAACGGAATCAATCCATCTCATCAAGAGTTTTCCTCTCCTGTGCTGTCCTTCTACCCTTCCAAGCTTGTTGTCCCTCTCCGAGGACTGATCCCCTTATAACATGTCCAAAGTATGACGTCCCTCTCCAAGGACTGATCCCGTCTTGTAACATGTTCAAAGTATGTGAGACAGAGCTTCAAAATCCTTGCCCCCTTGAAGCAGTCCTGTTTCACCCTCTCTGGGATGAACTTGTTTGTTCTCCTAGCAGTCCATGGTATATTCAATACTCTTCTCCAGCACAAAACCTCAAAGGCATCAATTCTCCTTCTATCATCCCTAGTCATTGTCCAGCTCTCTGATGCATAGCAAGTGATTGCAAAGACCATGGCCTATATCAGTCACATCTTAGTCCCCAGTCTTAGATCGTTGCTACTCAGTACCTTGGAGAGGTCTCTGACAGCAGACTTTCCCAATGCAATTATTTTTATTTCCTGGCTGCTGGTACCAAGAGTGTTGATTGTAGAGCCAAGAAAATGGAAGCTGTAAACAATCTCAGTTAAATTATAATTATGTTCTGCTTGATTGACTTTCATGAATTACAGAGAGAGAGAGAGAGAGAGAGAAGGGGGGAAGAACACAACAGTTGTCAGCTCATCTTTGTGGAATGTGTTTAACCTTGTTTCATGTATTTCAGCCATTTGATCCTTATTTTGGCCTTGTCAGTCAGGGATAATTTCTGCAAGTTCTCGTATTTAGAGGCTGAGACATGGAGGACACTATTGGCACACTCCCCTGAGTGACTTCAGCCTTGAATTAGCTACAGAATCACAAAGTCAACTTTTCCTTCTTTATGGAGCATAAGGTCGCCTGCTGTCATTCTGTTTTAGAGAAAAGAAGAAGAGGAGAGAAAAAAACAAGAAGAGCAGATCCGCTTCCAGGAAGAACTTAGGGCCAAAGAGCTCTACCGGACCCTGAAGCAGGCCCAGATGCAGAGGCATGCCAGTGAGAAGGAGCAGCATGAGTGGGAAGAGCAGTGTGAGTATCCATCCTCCCCACAGATTATCAGTTGTAAACTAACTGTTTTTATTGAGTGTTGTTGTTGTTGTGTATACCATTGAGTTAGAACTGACCCATAGCTGACCCTCTAGCGAGTTTTCAGTGGCAGTTAATTGCACGGAAGAATATTGCCCATCCTTCTACCATGGAGCAGCTGTACTTAGAGATTGCAGTACAGCTTTTTACCACCAGGTCACCAAAACTCCCTTAGCTGTGTGCATTTTCCTGCCAATGAAGAGTAGAGTCTACCCTCAAGGAATTTATGTATTATTTGTAAATAGTTAAAAAAAGAAAACCTGCTATTTCTGGAATAGGCAGAAATCTCCTGGCTCTGTGTTAAATTCCAAGGACCTAGAGATGATGGATAATGAATATATTACATATATTTGGGACATAAAGTGACTGTTCTTGAGGGGTTTCAGATGATGTATGTTATGAAGTGAGACTTGATGGAGTACTTTGAAGCCAAGAGGATTGACATGTGTAAAGGTGTTGTGACAAAGGATTTTAATGCTTAGGAAGTTGGAGACATGTGGGATGTTCATGTTGGAATATGACAAGTAGAGTTGAAAAAGGAAGGTGGAACTAAATTTGAAGGATAGCTGATGGTAAATTTTAATGGTGTTAACATGTTGTTAAGTGCCTGAGTGGAGCCAACCCATAGATGATCTTCTAGTTGGTTTTCAGAGGCTATAAATTGCACAGGAAAGGATTACATCTTTTTCTCTCACACAGTAATTGGTGGATTTGAACTGCCTGATTTTGAGTTCATTTTTGTACAGGGTACAACTTAAAGTTTTCTGTATATTCACAAAGTTATGGAAGCATCACTGTTATATACCACTAGAACATTTTTTCCTGGTTGTTGAAACTGTAAACAGCAGGATACATATCAATGAAACAATTTTTATATGTACAATTCAGAGATATTATTCTTCAAATTGTGTTCTCATCCTTCTTTTCAAAATTGCTCTTCTCCCATTGACATATACTTACTATCTCTGTGAAGTTCCCCAATTAACCTTTAGAATTCCCTTTTTTCCATTTAATCTCTTTATTATTGTTGTTATGTGCCGTCGAGTCGTTTCTGACTCATAGCGACCCTATGCACAACAGCCCTAAACCCTGCTCTCTCCTGCACCAACCGCACTGCCTCTGACACACCCATCCCGAGTGCCCCAGTCACTGAATCGATCCACCTCATAGAGGGGATCCACCTCATAGAGGGTCTTCCCCTCCTGCACTGTCCCTCCACCCTCCCAAGCATGATGTCCCTCTCCAAGGACCCGTCCCTCCTGGCAACATGTCCAAAGTATGTCAGACGAAGCCCCAGAATCCTTGCCTCCAAGGAGTAGCTTGGTTTAATCCTCTCCAAGATGAATCTGTTTGTTTTCCTGGCAGTCCATGGTACATTCAGTACCCTTCTCCAGCACCACAGCTCAAAAGCATCCACTCTCCTTCTGTCCTCCCTAGTCATTGTCCAACTCTCTGATGCATAACAAGCGATTGCAAAGACCATGGCCTGTATCAGGTGCACCTTAGTCTCCAGAGAGACACTGTTGCTCCTGAGTACCTTTGAGAGGTCCCCAACAGCAGACTTTCCCATCGCGATACGCTTTTTGATTTCCTGACTGCTGGTGCCAAGAGCGTTCACTGTGGAGCCGAGCAAACTGAAGCTGTGAACACTCTCAATCTCTTCGTCATCCATCCTGACGCTGCCAATTGGTCCAGTGGTGAGAATCTTTGTCTTCTTGACATTGAGCCTCAGTCCATACTGAAGGCTGCAGTCCTTGAACCTTCGCAGCAAGTGCATCAGGTCCTCCTCAGTTCAGCAAGCAGGGTTGTGTCATCTGCATAACGCAGATTGTTAATAGATCTTCCACCAATCCTGATGCCACAATTCTCCTCATAGAGCCCAGCTTCTCGGATAATCTGTTCTGCATACTGTTGAAAAGGTATGGAGACAAGATGCATCCCTGGCGTACACCCTTCCCAATTTTGAACCATGCAGTGTTACCCTGCTCTGTTCTGACTACTGCCTCTTGATCCAAGTACAGGTTTTGCATTAGCACAATTAAATGTTCTGGGATTCCCACAGTTTTTAAAAGTGCATAATATTCAAGGTGGATATTTTTTATAATAATCTAAGCTATTTGATTTGTGCATATGAAAATTGGACAATGAATAAAGATCAAAGAAGAATTGATGTCTTTGAATTGTGGTGTTAGTAAAGAATATTGAATATCTCATGAACTGCCATAACAACAAGAAAATCTGTCTTGAAGGCGAGCAACCAAGGTGGTCCTTAGAGGCAAGGATTATGAAACATCATCTCACATTTCTTAGGTGTGCTTAAGGATGTGTCAGTATTTGGGGGGGAAAATATCATGCTTAGAAAAGTAGATATTTATCAAGAAAGTAAGAACTCCAATGAGCTGAATTCCAATAGTGACTGCAACATAGGGTGATTTTGAGAATAGTGCAGAACAATTCACAGGGTCACTATGAGTCTGAGTTGTCTCCACTTAAAAAGACTACTTGATTTAAGGAAGACTTCATGTTGTGTTTTTTATTTCATCTCATCATTATCTCATTACAGTCAAGTAAAAAACTGTCTCTCAAGCAGGTTTTTAGAGACCAAATAAAAGGGAGCAGATAGTCTATATTCTCTTCTTAGGGGTACTGGTGGATTTGAACCTCCAGAGAGTCACCACCTTTGGGTTAGCAGTGGAACTCCTTACTCTTTAGACAACGAGACCTGTATTTTTATTTAATTTTTATATTTTCGTTGTTTTTTTAAAATTGAAGTTTTAATGAAAGCTTACAGAGACTTTGTACTTCCATTCATACTTTGTTGCACACTTTTCTCCCTGCCCACTCCTACCCCCAATTCATTTTCTATTTGAAAAGAAAAAAAAAAATCTTTCATTGTTTAACTATCCACATCCCCCGAGTCCACTTTACTATGCAGCTTTTGTTCTGGACTCTTTTCGTGAAAATAATACCTAATAATATATTCCTTTTAAATAGTTCTATCCCTCATCTGTCTCAATGCAGTACATATTATTTACCCCCTCATTTCTTAGGTTCCTCTGAACCCCTATGGCAGTCTCAATTTACAACAGTGGCACCATGTAGTATTTGTCCTTTTGTGACTGAGATACTTGACTCAGCATAATATCCTTCAGGGTCACCCACTTTGTATAATATTTCATGAGTCCTTGTTTTTCAATGCAGCATAGTATTCAATTGTATGGACATACCACAGCTTCTCTACCCATTCATTTGTTGATGGGCACTTGAGTTGTTTCCAACTCTTTGCTATTGTGAATAAAGCAGCAATAAACATGGATGTACATATATCTGCTTAGGTGACAGTTCTGGTTTCTTTAGGGTTTATACCCAGTAGTGAAATGGCTGGGTCAAATGGTATTTCTATTTGCAACTTTTTGAGAAAGTGCCATACAACCTTCCATAGTGGTTGCACCATTTTACACTTCCACCAACAGTGAATAAGGGTTCCGGTTTCTCTACAACCTCACCAGCATTTGTTGTTTGCTGCTCTGTTGAACTTTGCTATTCTTACTGGGGTGAGATGATATCTCATAGTAGTTTTGATTTGCATCTCTGTTAGAGCTAGGGATTTTGAACATTTCTTCATGTGTTTGTTCACCATCCGAATGTCTTCTTTGGTGAAGTATCTGTTAACATCCTGTACCCATTTTGCAATTGGATTGTTTACCTTTATCTTGTTGTAGTGCTGTAGTATTCTATAAATTGTAGATATAAGTCCCTTATCAGACATGCAATTGTTGTTATTGTTGTTGTTAGGTGCTGTCAAGTCATAGACAACTCATGAGCACTGTTCATAGAATTTCCATAGGCAAGCCATTTCGGAAGTGGATGCCACTCCTGTTTCCAAACTTGTTTTAATCAGAAACTCCACCAAATACTGTCTGCCATGAGTAACCATTATCACATTTGGCACATTAGTGTCGAATTACCAAATTTCCCCCCCCCCCCCCCCCGTCTGTGGCTTTTCCTTTTACCCTGTTCGAGAAGTTTTTGAATGTGCATAGGGATTTGATTCTTAGAAGGTCTCATTAATCTATTTTATATTCTCCTGGTTGTAGGTTTTCCAGGATGTTTGGAAGACTGTACAATGTTGTGGATTAAGGCTTCTAGAGTTTTCCCAAGCTATTCTCTAAAGAAGTTTATAGTCCTTGGTTTTAGTCCTAGGTTCTTGATCCACTTTGAGTTGGTTTTTGTGTATGGTGTGAGGTGTGGCTTTTGCTTGAGATTTCTGCACATAGTTTTCCTATTTTGCCAACACTACTAAAAATGCTGTTATTTCCCCACTTAACTTATTTTATCTCTTTGTAAAAATTCAGTTGTCCATAGGTAGATGGGCTGATTTCTGGAGTCTCAATTCTATTCCGTTGATCTATGTGTGTGTTATAGTACCAGTACCATGCTGTCTTGATCAAACTGGCAGTGTAGTAGGTTTTGAAATCAGAGAGTGAGACTCCTCCTACCTTGCTTCTGTATTTAAGAAATACTTTGCTTATTCGGGGTCTCTTTCCATTCCAAGTGATATTGAAGATTGCCTTCCCATCTCTTTGAAGAATGGAATTTGTATCTGTATCGGGATTGCATTGAACATGTAAAGTGCATTTGGTAGCACAATGCGGAGTCTTCCTATTCAAGGGCAAGGTATATTCTTCCATTTCTCTAGGTCTCTTTTTTTTTCTCTCCTTGTAATAATGTTTTGTAATTTTCTTTGTGTTTCTGGGTAGATTTACTCTCAAGTATTTAATTTTGTAGTAAGCTATTGTGATGGGTATTGTTTTTCTAAATGCTAGTTCTGTATTCTCTTTCTCACTGTAGAGAAATCCAATTGATTTTTGTATGTTGTATCCTGCCACTTTGCTGAATTGATCAACTATTTCCATTAGTTTTCTTGCTGAGTCTTTAGGGTT